CAAAGTCTGCTTTTCTGAAGTCCAGGGTCCGTATTCTGCTGCTCTCCTTTCTTCCTTGTGTCAGGATCCTGAACCTGAGCAGGGTCTCTCCCAGGTCTCCTTGCCTGGAGAGTTTCTTTGTCTTCCAGTCCTTCTTCTCCCTTCTGGTCCCAGCCACCAACTGACCTGCTCAGGCCCTGCAGCTCCTTTTAACTGAGCCTACTGGGCTCCGATTGGCTGCTGCTCAGCTGCCTCCTAACCCCACAGGTGTCTAAATCCACTAGGTGCCTCAAAATCCACCACCACAATACATATAGGCCCTGATTTTTACTTGGGTCTCAACAAAGCCTTCAGTATTGTGGCACTCAGCATTTGGCTATTAGATGATCAAATGAGTTCAAATGCTGGCAGAAATTATTGGCCAAAGTGAAGTTTTATGTTCAACTCTATGGAATTTCTCTGTCTATAATGTAATAACTTTTGAACATTGCATCCAATTAATTCTAAAATTCCGAGGAATGTTCTAGGTATCAATGGGCGGAATCCTATTGATATTGATGAAATCTGGAAGACCAGAATGGGAAAATGGGGAGCACACAGAGTCCCTTGCATCCAGTTAGCAGACCCAGCAGCTTCAACCAGATCTGTAATTGCCTATAGATCAAAGAACCAGATGATGGCATCAATTAACACCTTCCAGCTTAACAACATCCCCCATGTCAGCTCTGCTCATCCTTCCAACAGAGTTTAGAATGTTGACACCTTGAATGATTTATCACCCACAGAGAAAGGAAAGAAAAAAAGAATGGTGGGGGGAAATGGAAGAGTCCCTGGCATAGGAAAAGCATGGGGACTCTGGTATGTGGGGAAGGGGGGAATGGGGAGGCACACAGAACCCATAACATAGGGGGAAAATGCTATGGTATAGGGAGAAGGAGAATGGGGGGCAGGTGAGGAGTATAAGGTATGCACACAGAGCTTCAGGCATGAGGGGTTACAGGCTGTCCATGAAATACAGCAGTATGGGAGGGTGACACACAGGAAGCTTGGGTGGTGGAATGGAGGGATGCAAGTACCACCTGGTGTGGGCCATGATCTTAGTCTACAGAAGCAATAAAGTGTGCAACCCTCTAATATTGGAGACCATTTTAAAAAATGGGGCCATAAGTTAATTCTGTATTAACTTGGGATGGATGTGTGGAGCTCACTCTTCATTTGATATATTAGCTAGAGAGCTCTTTAGAGATCAGTTTATCACTGAAGCCTCGTCAGCAATTGCTCTTGTCCATCAAGCCAAAGGGTTGGTTCAAAATCTCATAGTTGTGGTATAGCTAGAGAATGACTTTACATTTTCTCACTGATCTTATCACCAATGTTCTCATTTTTACCATATAATTATAAAATAAATCAATTGGAATATAAATATTGTACTTACATTTTAATGTATAGTATATAGAGCAATACAAAAAAGTCATTATCTGTATGAAATTTTAGTTTGTACTGACTTCGCTAGTACTTTTTATGTAGCCTGTTGTAAAACTAGGCAAATATCTAGATGAGTTGATGTACCCCCTGGAAGACCTCTGGGTACCCCAAGGGGTACAAGTACCCCTGGTTGAGGGCCACTGGTCTACACAGGAAAAATTATGCCAGAAGACTGTCATCCTGATGGGACCACTCAGGGTTCTTTAGCAGACTTGTTGCTCTAAACAGCTGAATTCTGTCCTTATTTTGAGTGAGATGTGTCAAGACTGGCATGTCTGGCAGGGCAGAGGGGATGAGAATGATGTAAAAAGAAACGGGTGAATAAGCAGGGAGAGGCAGAATTATACTGGTCCTTAAAGGCAAGGACAAGAAGCTTGAGGTGGTGGAGGAGGGGAACCCAGTGCAAGGATTTAAGCGTTCAATGGAACTACTGAGTGAGGAAAGGGCTGCAAAAGCTAGCTCATTGTAGCAGCAAATTTGATAAAGATGATGCGAGCAGGACCAGAGGACCTGGTGGTAAAACCACCTGAGCTCCACCTACTCTAGTGCTTTCACTCTTGTTACCACTTGTGGAATTGCACCAATGATGAATTATGGGTTTGAAGTTTGCTAATGTAGACAAGGCCTTAAAGACTAAAGGAATGTCTGTATTGCAATCACTGGGTGTGCCTGCAGTTTGAGTGGACATACCTGAGCTGGCTTTAATCTAGCTAGCTCAGGTACTGGAGCAGTGAAGCCAAGGCCCCAAAAGTAATTACCTAGAGTCCCTGGCAGGTTTATACACTGACGCGTACATTGACGCAGTTTCACTGTTCTGCTAGGTTAAAACTACAATCACACCCTGTGCTTGCAGTGTAGGCATACACATACCCTAAGGGTCAATTGGTGTAAATAGGCGTAAGCACCACTGAAGTCAAAGCAGTTTAGGAACACAGGAAATGCCATACTGGATCAGACCATTGATACATCTAGTCCAGTGTCCTGTCACAGGTGGTGGCCAAGACCATCTGCTTCAGAGGAAGGTGCTAGAAACCCTACATTAGCCAGTTATAGGATAACCTGCCCCCATGGAAAACTGCTTACAAACCCCCAATAGTTAGAGTTGGCTAAAGCTGTGAATCATGAATGTTTACATCCCTTCAGAAATCCTTGATTACTTATAATATTTATCATGTGGATACTCTTGTTATACAGATAAAAATCAAGTCCTTCTGGAATCCTTCTAGGATCTTGGCCTCTGACTACACATGGGGGAAGTTTAATCTTTTGGTCTTCCTTCTCCTATCAGTCTTGATGAGTTACTCTGAGCTGAATGATATTCTGTCAGATCCTGAATATCAAAGCTAGATTAAAAATGCTTATTTTCCCTGCATGCCTCTCAGCCACGGCTCAAATTGTGCCAGCTTGGAGAACAAGGACTATTTTCTTGAGGTGGCCATCTTGTGCTGCAGAATCTCAGCTTTCAGTTTTATTAATTAAGTATTAATTATTATTATTAATTATTATTATTAATTATTATAATTATAGTCATAGTGGATCACAAGCTAAATATGAGTCAACAGCATAATGCTGTTGCAAAAAAAAGCAAACATTCTGGGATGTATTAACAGGAGTATTGTAAGCAAAACACGAGAAATAATTCTTCCGCTGTACTCCGTGCTGATCAGGCCTCAACTGGAGTATTGTGTCCAGTTCTGAGTGCCACATTTTAGGAAAGATGTGGACAAATTGGAGGAAGTCCAGAGAAGAGCAACAAAAATGATTAAAGGTCTAGAAAACATGACCTATGAGGGAAGATTGAAAAAATTGGGTTTGTTTAGTCTGGAGAAAAGATGACTGAGAGGGGACATGATAACAGTTTTCAAGTACATAAAAGGTTGTTACAAGGAGGGAGAAAAATTGTTCTTCTTAACCTCTGAGGATAGGACAAGAAGCAATGGGCTTAAATTGCAGCAAGGGAGGTTTAGGTGGGACATTAGGAAAAACTTCCTAACTGTCAGAGTGGTTAAGCACTGGAATAAATTGCCTAGGGAGGTTGTGGAATCTCCATCATTGGGGATTTTTAAGAGCAGGTTGGACAAACCCTTGTCAGGGATGATCTAGATAATACTTAGTCCTGCCTTGAGTGCAGGGGACTGGACTAGATGACTCTCGAGGTCTCTTCCAGTTCTATGATTCTATGATTATATTATTTTAAAGTAAGCTTTTGGTTGTGACTGGGTGAAACAGCCAGGAAAATGTTAAAGGCTACCTGCTTGTCACATTGTTAGCCTGAGACAGTTGGAATTAGATTTTACTTTACAGAAGATGGGCTATCTGCAGTGTTCTACCCCCTCCGCATCTATCATTGGTAATTGTGTAGTCAAGAGAAAGGCAGATTGAGGTTGCAGACAGTCAGGTGGTATTTATTAAGAGTAACAATAACAGACTCCCTGCAAACTAAGATAACACAATAAAAGCTCGATTGTTAACACAAATGATGTAAATGGGGGTGAACCCCAGAGCCCCAAACCCTATACACAATGGGGTACACAGGACTAAACAAGGAGAACTATACCATATCTTGCAGACACTGGACAGGAGAACAGGAACAGGGACACAGACGGGAACCAGGTTCTCAGGGACAGGTGCCAGGAACAGGAACACAACAGGAACCAGACCTCAGGAACTTTGGTGACAGGTAAGTAGATCTTCAGTATGATTTCTTCTGTCTTCTATTCTTGATCTCGTCATCCTGTGTGCTGAATGCAAACGCTATCTCACGTGATGATGGAACAGGTAAGTGGAGGTAAGTTAAGGGAACCTTGTTAGATGTTACTGGTTCACCTCAAGTCCTAATTCCCTCAGGGCTCTAGCTAATAGCAAGGCTGGTATTCTGTGGGAGAGCTTATATGCCTCACTGGGATGACCTGCTTTCACAGCATCCAGAGACACAGAGCGCCCCTCAGAGGGTGACACTCCCTTGTATGCGTTCTCTGTTGCTAGGCAGATTCTACTGCCATGAGACACTATCTTTCCCGCATCAAACTCGAAAAGAGCGCCAAAAGTTGAAGGTGAAGAGATGCCAAGATGGAGGACAGGTTGTCCTTTTATCAATCCAAAATGGCGACTGGGTACACCTAATAAATGGACCCTTTCCTACCCAACAACATGACTCAACAGGGGATTGAAGTGAAGGGGGAGTGTCCTCCTTCCAGGACAGAGAGGCACAGGGGAAAGGCCTCTGGGGACTGCAGCCTGCTTGGGGCAGGGAAACTGTTTGGTTTTGTGCAATAGTTTTGTTTTTGGGTGCCTGCAAGTGGCTGGTTCTTGGGAGAATATTTCTACTTATTTTTTTCTCAGTCTGACCATTGGAGTCAACAAGCCAGAAGGAAGAAGAGCACAGGAGAGGGGAACATATGAGCTGAACCAACTTAAGAAGCCTGAAAGAGCCCAGAGGCACATCTGAGCCTTACCGAGGGGGAGCCAATCCTGTATTTAAACATCTGTAAAATTTCCTGTGAATGGCATCTCAAGTGGGTGGAGCTTCGTTTGTGGGCAGGGCTTTGAAGAGTTCAGCTTCACTTTTTTTTTTCCAAATCAACCCCTGTTCTCAATACATCTTCTGTTTCTCTACAGAAGTGATCACTCACCTTGTCATGTCCTACTTCTCAATCTGTGCTACAGCACCTGTGAAAATGTGATAGTCAAAGAGTTTAACTTAAAAATCTATTTGATCAATTACATTGTGGAGACCCTATATTTCCAAAGCAAATATACTGAAAAAGCTCTTAGATTCTCAGATTGAAACAAAGGGGGTTGGGATCTTTAAATATTATGGACCAAATTTTCAACAATAGCCTCTCAATGTATGAACCCACATTTTTTGATTCTACTCTTAATAAATACCCACTATGATTCTACTCTTAATAAATACCACCTGACTGTCTGTCTTCCTGGTGCAAGTGCTGGAGGAACCAACTAGGGGCACAGCTTTTCTTGACCTGCTGCTCACAAACAGGGAATAATTAGTAGGGGAAGCAAACGTGGATGGGAACCTGGGAGGCAGTGACCA